GGAAACTTTTGTAAAACTGTCGATTGACAAGCATAGGAGGGAAGATAGTTGAAGAGCTTTTACTCTAGAGTAAAACTTATTCAATGCATGCTTTCATCCTGGAGGACCTGGTCCCTACCTAATCTTTAAAATTGTAGATTTAGACCCCTAATCTTGATAAATATAAGACGAAAGGTCCAAATTTACCACAACCACATTTTAGAACTGACAAAGAATGCCATGTATAGCCACATTTCAAGGAAACCCCTTCGATCAAAATCTTCTACACAAGCCGGCCATAACCTTCTATTATATTCTATAATATATTAAAAGTCCCTTAAACATCTTAAAAACTCTCGAGCTTGGATCACGGATAGGGCTAAATAGTCAAAAAAAAATCATTTAAAGCTAATATTTCTCCTTTTCCTTTCAGATGTGGAGCTAGGCTACCGGAGGGCTTGCTGAGCTTAGCGTCTGATCTCAAATGGGATCGGACGTTCGGCGAGAAGCATTCCCGGAACTCATCACGAGGAACAGTTGGTGCGTAAGGAAAACCTCCCAAAATCGGACATCAAGCATTGTATTTTCTAAAAAAAAAGAGAAAAGACTTCAAGCAATCAGGTACTTCCTCCGTTTCACAATGTATGTCATTCTAGCATTGTCCACATTCATATAGATGCTAATGAATCTAGGCATATATATAAGTCTAGATTCATTAACATCAATATGAATGTGGAAAATGCTAGAATGACTTACATTGTGAAACGGAGGGAGTAACAATTAATAATCACTCACATATACATAGAACAGTAACAATGTGTTTCTAATTAACGGTGCATGGCATTATTAAGAAGCCATATTGCACCTCTGGAATAGTTAAAGCCTTAAAGGTTGATCATCCAAACAAGAGCAGTTACCAGCAATACGAAGCAAAGTTGTAACACTGGCCACAACAGCCAGCCTACAGGTGCTTCCCTCGTCGCAACCAAGACGATCATTAAACCCAAGCTAAACACCTATACAGAGACACGGCAGCTAAGAGCATCTCCAACAAACCTCTCCAATTGGGCTCTCCAAGCTAATTTTTTAAAATTCTATTTAAAATGTGCTCCAATAGCATCTCCAACCTACTTGCCAAACTATTTGGCTGGGCAAATCCTTCTCCTCACAAGCTAAAATTGGTCACGCTATTTGGCTGGCCAATGGTGGGCCCCACATAGCCAATCTCCCTGCCCCCCTCTCTCTAGCATTCATCTTTTTCACACCCCATCTCGACGTCGACACAGCTCATGCACGGCAAGCCAGGCAAGGAAGCACCGGGAGTAGTAGGCGGGAGAACGCAACGATGACGCCCGCCACGACGATGGCGTGGAGGCCAAGGATTGTCGAAAGCCTCGGGTGGAGGATGAGGAGAGCCACTCCGAGCTTCGCCCGGCGGGTGTTACGCGATGATGACGACCGCTCGCGATGACAGTGCCCGCAACGACGATGACACGGAGGCTATGGACCATCGGGACCCTCGGGTCAGTGCGGTGACGGGGGCTGAGGAGAGCCACTCCAAACTCCGCCAGGTGGGTGGAACAGGATAACGACGCTCACCGCAACGATGACGCCTACGACAACGATGGCACAGAGGCTGTGGACCGCTGGGAGCCTCGGGTAAGCTCGATAGCGGAGGCTAAGGAAAGCCGCTCCGAAATCTGCCAGGTGCACCAGATTTATTGGAAGCCGCTACTGCTGGGCGGCGAGGGAGGGAGGGCGTGGATGCGGCGGCGGTCGGTGGGAGCTCAGCAAGTTAGAGCAGCGGCAATGGCGCTTGTGGTGGTGGTTGGCAGGGAGCTCGGCGGATTGGAGGGGATTAGAGTGCTCACATACAAGCGAACCATCCTTGGGCGTATTGTGACCTCAATGGGCTCGTTCATAACAGTAATACACAAAAAATGTGTGCATGCTTATGCACAAAAGACGGTACAGTTGTGAATTTGCTACTGGTTTGAATCGTTATTGCAAAATTGCAACTAGAAAATTGCAAAAATGCCACTAGAACTATCTTTCGAGTGGCATTCTTGCAAAACTGAAAAAAAAACCAGCGGCAAATTTACAATTTACAAATGCCCCGAAAAATACAAAACGCACAAAATAGACATCAACATACACGTAAACTTGGTGTGAGCTAAGGACGCTTTTGTCTGAGTTGAAGGAATTCCCAGACCGTTGCAGCAAGTTAATTTAATTCTTGATGATGAAACGTACTGAAGAATGGCCGGAAGATGTTGCCCTGCAGGCATGTGATCTATGGAGGCGGCGTGTAAACGAATCCCGCAAGGGATGGATTGGCATGTATTGCACAGTCGGATGATGTGGTCGTACATTGCTAAGTCCTGATGCCTCTCATTTCGACAACCGGATCGATTAATTGATATATTAGAACTTTGGATATCTGGAGAGAGATGTATATACTGTTAAGCTAGTTGCTAGAGTTGTTCTCATATCAATGTGTATGCTCTTCAAGAAACCACTATATGTATGCTGCTATTTTCTTTCCCTTGCACAAACTGGATGCATGCATTATGTTTCTAGCTACATATGTGTCTAGATTCAAATCCAGGATTAGGCTTTTCTTGGGACGGAGAGAGTACAATCTTGTTCTGAATTTCCCAGCACCTTTCAATGGTCACTAGGCTGCAAGAGAGTGTGTGTGTGTGTGTATATATATATATATATCTCATGGAGTCATGGGCAAAGGACAATTGACTTTGATTGACTGCATTGCTTTTTTTCTTTTTAAGTAGAAAAAAAACTTCTAGCTAACTAGTGCGATACTAGTGGCATTTTCAGTTAGCAACTTTAATGCGGGTCTTTAAAGATTGTATAATATGCATACAAAATTGTTAGGGGAATGGCTCCGGATTATTGGAGCAAGCCTCCGTCGGTAACCACGAGTTCCAGAGCCCCCTCCCCCCGGGAGGGCGACCGAACTCAAGCAAGGCTCCGGGTATCATGGTACCTGGATACCGGAGGTAGCTGGAAGTATGAAGGTTGTCACGACCTCCAGAGTTAGCCGAGGCCTCCGAAGAAGACCATGGCCTCCGGAGGGGCTTAATGCCCCCGGAGCCAATCAAGGCCTTCGGAGCTCACCAAGGCCTGCGGAGGGGACCATGGCCTCCAGAGCCAGCCAAGGCTTTCGGAGCCGTCCAAGGCCTTCGGGGCCGTCCAAGGCCTTCGGGGCTGCCCGAGGCCTTTGGAGTCATCCGAGGCCTTCGGAGCCGTGCAGGACCTTCGGAGCCAACCATGACTCTTGGGGCGAGCCGCTGCCTTCGGAGCCAGTAAGGGCAGCAAAGCATGTGGAGGACTTTAGGAACCGAGGTTGGAAATGGACCCAGAAGAGTAGTGGAGGGCAATAAATACACACTACACACTCGCCAACCACCTCTAACAACCCGGCTCGACAGACAAGGCTGGGCAGGTGTCACGGTCTACAGACCGAGGCGCAGGCTGCAGCCGGGCCAATGGCTAGGGACCTGGGGAGCCGGCCCAGTTTTCTGGGTGGGCGCAGCCCAACCTTGTCACCGAGGAAATGACAAGGACACCCAAGGACTGTCCCGCATGTCAGTCACTTCGGTTTTGCTTAAAAAGAACAACGACAGCATTGTAACTTCCCCTTCGATAACCGTTGTATAAATATGTAAACTTCGCTCATCTAGAGCACATGGAATACAGAACACACATTGAATATGCTAGTTGGACTTTGTCCCAACAGAAATAGTACAGTAGATTAGGTTGATTTAGTACTTCAAAAGTCTGCAACTTTGTATACGGTGCAGAGCCCAATTTCCATGATCTGAATTTTGTCACCAAGAGTAGTGATTTTAGCTTTCAGAGACGACCTTAATTTAACATCTTACATATGTACGCAATTTTCGGAAGGTCATTATTATGTTTTCACTATATTGAAACAGACAGCAGGTTCATATGAACCTTGATATCTCAATCAGAGCAGAGATCCAAGGAAGGCTCTGTAATTTGTTCTGCTTGCTTGATTTTATTTACTAGTAGATGGTTAGTAAATGTACTGAACTTTTGTACTCCCTCCATCCCAAAATGTTTGATGCCATTAACTTTTTGAAAAATATTTGACTGTTCGTTTTATTCAAAAAATTTAAGTAATTATTAATTCTTTTCCTATCATTTAATTTATTGTTAAATATACTTTTATTTATATATATAGTTTTACACATTTCATAAAAGTTTTTGAATAAGATGAATGGTCAAACATGTTTAAAAAAATCAACGGCGTCAAACATTTAGGGAGGAAAAGGATGGAGTATTTATTATATGCATGGTTGGCAACACACTTATTCACAAGCATATTGTCAGCAACTTTCATCAAGTAGCTTGTTAGTTGCAACAGAACTTGAGCTGAGCGCTTATAATTTAGTCCTTACACATTATACGAAGCCAAGAAAAATCTCTCAAATTAAACCGTATATCTATTTCATGATCGATTCTGTTTGGTTTCCCGTTTTCTCAAATTACTTTTTAATTCCCTAATAAGTCAAAATGGCTTACTAGGGAATATGAACAACGGATGACGACGCTGCAAGTCAACCAGAAATATTCGTGATTAACTTGAAAGACCAAATAAACAAGCAGGTGCTGCAGACTAATTAAAGAACACTCGAAGATATCTTTGCCATCTCTTAGGAGTTATAACGCAAATTAACTAGTTACTTATGAAGGAATATGGCGTCTGACGATTTTATTCAGAAACAAATTTTTTTAGACAATGGATGAAACCTGGCCTTCAATTCAACAGAAACAATTACTACTATCTATAATTGTGTGATTTTTTGTTACCTATTTACCCTTTAAGAATCCTTTGTAATCAACGGTGTAAGTGATGTTCTGTGCTGGTAGCAGGAATTACCACACTAAATGATCCTTGCATGTTTCATGATCTGATAGATGTTCCTCCTTTGCGATCCCTTGTTTCAGAGATGAAGACAAACCAGACATAAGGATGCGCGGGCCTAGGTAATCATGGCCGAAACTGAAGATTATTTTGTAACCAGATGTCTAATAGTTGGGACAGAGTACTAGCAAAGAGATCAATTAACAACTCTAGCTTAGAGTACTCGTTAAACTCCACAATCTGAGATGTTAGAGGTATGCATGCGCGATGGAGAAGTTGAACCAGAGGATCACCTTGCCACATGTTGATTCTCGATGTCACCTACTCCCAAAATGTAGCTAAGCTCGTATATATTCTTTGCATGGATGGACAAAAGTTTCACAAAAGCTATTTGCATATTGTCATATATATGTGGCTCTCCCAAGCTACACCTCTGATATGGGAGATTCTCCCCAAGTGCCAAAAACACTCGGCAAGAGCAGCAAAAATATAGGATCGTAAAGGGTCTTTCCCACCCCAAAAGCTAACCATTGAGGTGAGGGGCTTCCCCACTTATATCTTAGGTCCTTAGCTCTTCCACAATCAATGTGGGACTATTCAACAAAAAATACACTCCTCAGTGTAATCCTCACTTAGAAGTGATATTGCAAATTTGCAATGTTCCCGTCATGCATGGCTTTCTCAGTGTGTAACCACAACATGTGTAATAGGTAGCACATTGAAGCTTAATTTAAAAAAATAGTCTACTAATAAATGGCATGTGCTAGCACTGCACACACATGATAGAGGCATATATAGATGCTCGCCCTACTATCATGTACTATCTTGATTCCACACTATAAAGCTATATATCCAGTACTTGATATATAGATCGTACTTTTTATTAAGTAGCAACCAGTTCTATGGCGAGTGTGAATATTCTTATATACCAACCAGGGTTCACAGTTAATTTCGGATCGAAATATCCAAATGTTCAGTTCTATCGGACCCCCCGATACGATATAATTTTGGCCGAAATTTTAAATTTTTTTTTTCATTTTTTGGTGAATTTGGTAATATTTTGTTCAAATTTAGTCAAAATTTATTAAAAAGTTCACAAAACTTTGGACCGAAATTTCGGTATTTCGGCCACCCCTATCGTAATCAGCAAACCGAATCATTAAACCCTGATACCAACTCTTTCGATCATTTAGTAACTTCATTTGAAGCACTCATCAATTCACTACCATTTCTAATGAACATGCAGAAATGCAAAGATAATCTCTTCCATTGTCGGCTAAATAAAAAGTAGTGCTTATATACATGAATATCAGAAATGACATAGGCCTATCCATCCTCTAGTTAATTAAGCTCGAGCAGTCGAACTAGCTAGCACAAACCATTCTGGAAAGTCAGGAAGGAAAGCAGTCAATTTTTTGAGCAGGACTTCTCGGTTTGTGAAAATAGTTCTTCCAAAATGAAACTCTAGATCTAGAAACATCTCGGTTGGGATGCTCAGCCTCCACAATCACAACTAACATAACTGGATGGAAAATATCCGACATTTGTTTCGTCATGTGTATCTTTGACGCTACGAAACCAAGTTGCACAACATTGAGCTCTTATGTCAGCTACAATTAAGATAAAACATGAAACATGAAACGAGTTAGTTAGACAGCATCAAAAAGATCCTTGAAAGTGCACGGAGCAAATGCACTAGGAATATGTACAAGTGTGCATGTCGAGAAGTTAATTACCATGATTCCTTTAGGATGAGTCATCCATATTCCCGATGACTTCCAAGTCTAAATCAGGATAACTTGTTTCTAAATCAGAGTAATGTATGGAAGAATAACTCAGGCTAGCCTTCATGGCACACCATATAGATATACTCCCTCTATCCCTTGATATTTTAAGTTGGTTATGTCATACAAATTTGTATTCTAGCTAGGAGAAGTAGGCAATTTGGTATGTAACATGCCTTGCTAGGAGAAGTAGGAAATTTGTATTCTACAACCCTTTATATGGGCTTAGTCTATAATAGGCCCTTCATGCATAATCTAGTGCTCCCTCCATTCCAATATAAGTATAATTTAGTACAGATGTAACACACACACACACACATATATATATATCTTACGACTACGGACATACAACTATTTAGATTCATAGTCTTAGAATATGTCATATCCATATTAGATTGCACTTATATTGAGACGAAGAGAATAGTTTGCTTGTACAACCAAGGTGGGTTATATCTATTCCAGAAGCTGAGTATGCAAGGTTGGTGTCCTTGGCATGTTTGTGTTTGGAGAGGGTGTTCATGGGTTTTTCATGAACTTTTTTTCAGCCGTCTTGAGAAAATGTATTAGTTTTTTTACTGTATATCATAATTACGTAGAGATCGAGAATGTTCTCAATATTATATATATATATATATATATATATATATATAACCACTCGATGTAATCTATTGAGTTCAATGAAAGCTTCCATTTTTTTTTGAAAAGTTATAGCTTATAGCCACCAAAAACACACACTCGCCCACACAGAAAAGAGAGTCATGGAAAGACGATAAAGTAGTGACAAACAATTGAGCTGGCATGGATCCCACTTAACCCTGCCAATTGCCAAAGAGGAGTGAGGTCGACGATTTATGTACCGATCGCCAAATGCTATGTATGCATCATGTAAATTGTAGGATCGAAATACAATCCGATGTCTCCCAAGCCAAAACCAAGAACTAATCTATCGCCGTTCCGTTTGAAGACTCCGTTACATAGAATGCTCCGGGAACCTTCCCGTGTGTTTAAGCACACACAGTATGGTTTGGGCCATGCCGTGCGCAAAATCGTGAAACACCCTGGAAGTGCGCACGGGAAACCGATGAAGCCGCCGTATGTCTGTTACCGTGCGGTGGTACTCGGTAACGTTGTTACCGTGTGGATTTTGCCTGTTCCCTGGTGTTTTTGGCGCACGGGAGCTATCCCATCTCTAGTAATGCGCAACCATGTTTCATGTACAAGTTATTACGGCCCATATTCGGTCGGTACATTACGTAGCCACTCTGATTTATGCAGCTAGCTAGCTTATGAGTTTGGATTGTCTTTGCCCGTTGGGTTGTACCAATGGGATATATATGTAGTTCGGTAGAGTTCATATATAAGCACACACCCTCCACGACTCTTATATTACCTCTATTTATTAGCTTGTTAAATTTTATGGTACTTGAGAAAATACAGCAATATATACCACTTCTTTTACTGCCTTGTGGAAATCACAATCCAAAAACAGGACTTTGAGAACTAAATGAAAAGAAAAAGGGCCTACTCCCTCCATTTCATATTTTTTAAAAAATTTAACATCATCTAAAATATTTAATTAGTTTCATTAAATCTAGTATTGAATACATTTTGATAAAACGTTTGTTTTGTGTTAAAAATACTACTATATTTTTCTATAAAATTTATCAAACTTAAAAAAAATCAAAACTACTTATAATATGAAATCGAGGAAGTATTAGATTCACTTTAGTGTACCGCAAACACCTCATCGAAAGAATTAAATGCTCTGGAAAATACAATGCAACATGAACAACACATATTCCAAAACTACTCCACCACTGCTACTTCCCACAAAATTAAATGTACCATGTGTTACAACTTGTGATTAATCGAAATATATTTGCAGTACGGCTGCAGATAATTGTGTGAGAGTTATAGCAAGTTCATGCTAGTGGAATCTCTTCTGCTTCCGAATCTGAATCACATTCAAAGTAACATGGTGACTAATTTTTCACTGCAACAACACACTCATCATCCACCGCAGAGGCAAAGAGGTCGCCTTCCAGAATCCAGCATAACAGAAGAAGATGCATGACTGACTTGGTCAGTAAGCTAATCTAAATTGAAATTATACCACATATTATTTCTTTTTATAACTCGAGAGATAAATGTGGTGAAGTTCTGTATGACACACATTGATTTGATCTCATAAAAAGATTTGCCAACCTGGGCAATCGAACACACCATATGCTGTAGCGACCCAATATGCATCATCTAGGCTAGCAAGTCTGCTCCATGTCAATATCCCCTAAGTATGCCAATCGACTTGGACTAACCTCGAGAGGGTAAGGCTCATTTATTTGACACGACATTGGACAAGAGCCCTATCCAAGAATTTGAGGCCCCAATGTAAAATATAAAATGATCGAAGGCCTGTAGATAGAAAATGCGAAGAAACAAAATAATAGATTTTTACTTCGGACTCTTAGATATTCACAAAAGTTGCACAAGGCATAGACTCACTTTTTCACTTCGTTCCAAGATGAGTCGTGTCTTGATGCAATGATTTATTTTGGTTAAGCGGGGAAATGGAATATTTGATGTGGCCATAATTACATCGTCATCTCATGAGTAATAGTTCTTTGAGGTGACCATGATTGCCACCTAGCATTTTATTGAAGCTGGAGAATATAAACCCGTTCTAACCAAATCAGTAAAAGAGGACAAACGAAACTTTTAAAAATGAAATGAGAGATCTTTAAAACGCATTACCATGAACTAAAATATGAAAAAACCGGAGACACCTGTTTCGGAAGCCCTATTCGGTTGCCCAACGCACACGTGCTTATTGACGGCCCCCATCATTGGAGATGCATACGGTGCTATGATCTGTTCTAAAATGATGCAAATTAGCACAAAGAGATGTATCTCTCATGATGCTAGGTAATTTAGTTCCCAAAGCCTCCCATGTCCACCATCCTTCACAATTATATTGAACATTCTACCTACATATATGCACATAGAATTCAGAGCTCCAAAATCTAGCTCCTTGAACATCTAATAATATATACGTGTATATATGTTATATTATTTTGATCTTTTTCGTTTCCTCCAATTGGTGTGGACATGGATAGGCTTGCTAGCTATGTAAGGATGGAATTGGCTTGTTTTTATAGTCCTATTGCAAGATACTCTACATTCTGGTATGTGTTAAAATACAGAGCCCATTAATTGGATATGTCTGAGTAGCAATACACAGAAATTGTGTGTATGTTCATGATAAAGAAAAGCACGTGATCGATATATTTAGAAAATATACAATGTGCAATTGTAGACGTCAGCACGCATGATAGATATCCAATGTACTGTACATTCACATGTGACATTTTATCTTTGTTTGAGCATACATACTAATTAGTGAAAAGTTAGCTTTAATCAAATTAAAACATACTAATTTCACCTAGACATGACAAAGTTTGTTCAAAAATCAAAATGGCCTACTTTGACTACAGGAGCGAAGCTCGCGGACTACTCATCAGATCATCTAGCCACGTCCCTGACGCCTCTCACTCCCACAAGCTAGCAGACTCTGACGAACAAGATCAAATCAGTTTGTAGCTTTGGATAGCTAGAGTAGTTTTCATCAAAGTGCATGCATCTTCTAATTTGGAGCCTCCAAAAGAAGAAGAAAAAACCCCCTGTGGAAATCTCAAGCAAATCTATCAACATCACAAGCGCCCATAGAGCAAAATCACACAAGATCTTGGAGTAGCAAGCACTGTTCAACAAGTTATATATCGAGATGGCACCATTGCATGTGCTTCTACATCTATCTTTGCCTCTCTATCTAGTTTCTTAATTTATACGCATTCAATTGTCTGGATTGTTCATCTTGACTTTAGTTCCAGCATATGGTTCGGACCATTTGCAGATTAATTACTCATCGCAATCCACATAATAAAAGGAGAAATTTGTTTCATTGTCAGTAACCTATTATACTCCCTCCATCCCAAAATATTTGACGCCGTTGACTTTTTTCAAAATGTTTGACCATTCGTCTTATTTAAAAAATTTAAGTAATTATTAATTCTTTTCCTATCATTTGATTTATTGTTAAATATACTTTTATGTATACATATAGTTTTACACATTTCACAAAAGTTTTTAAATAAGACGAACGGTCAAACATATTTAAAAAAGTCAACGGCGTCAAACATTTAGGGAAGGAGGGAGTATATTTTTAGCTAGTTTAATTTGTTGCAGCACTTCTACCTTTCAGTGTGGCTGAAAACTACTTAAGTACATGTTCAGAAAGTAGGGTCATCAAGATTGAATGATTGTGTGCAACCACTCGTAGACTTCAAAAATTAATCATGCTTAAGACACAAGTTGTAGACATATGTGCATGCTGCTACAATGAACACCACATGATTTTGTTCCTCGAAGGATGGTAGTAAAGCTGTCATTGAATGGCGCCATGCAAGAAACATAAGAAATTGTAAGATCAAACCTAACCAACGACATGCCTGAATTCCCTGTGCTTCCCATCCCAATCTGCAATATACATTTCCTATATGTGTGTCCGGAGTTCATGATGAATTAGAGAGAAATCAGGACGATTGACAAGGCTAGTGGAATCCTTTAACTGCTCCACAAGTGGAAGAATAAATTGGAATCAAGATGCAGCAGAAAAAAAGTCTGTTGCTACAGCTTGCATTTGATTTTGCGTACGCTATGTCGTTGTAGCATTGTTGATCGAGCTGATAAGGGCCAGGCCAGAAATGCTACCAAGTTGCATTAATTTGTTGTAGTTGAAATGGGAAGAAATCAAGAAATGTTATTCTCCACTGGGCTGAAAATCTTCTACCGTATGTTATTGTCCTTTGAAGAGATGATCGACTCCATCTCTGATACCATCGTAGCTCTTATGTATTCCCGATGTTTCTCAAGCCTCGGAAAGATGCCACTATCTCCAGCAAATGCAAGCTATATAAAGTGCTAAACAAATCATGACATGGCATTCTACTAACTAATAATAAACTATCATAACGAGCATTTTTTTCCCCGCATATTCTCAACCTTGAGTAAGAGTGTGAGATTGAAGTACCAAAACTGCACACTTTGTACATAACGTCCTACTGACTGAGCTGAACTTGTATTGTTGTGACAGGCAAAGAGCACATGCATTGGTTTGTACTTTGGACTGGTATTACACTTTCACCAGAACAAAGCATCAATTTGTATTGCTAGAATTGACATAGCTATAACAGAGGTGTAGTAACCAATGTTGGGTCAACCGCATTTTGGGCGAAATCATAACAGTATGAAAAATAAAAGGTATCTAACAAGTACTAGGAAATAAAAGAGTTGAACTACTGTATTAATGCTAGCTACTGACAAATAAAATGTATAGTTGGGTGAGCTGTCCCATATAAATCAGCAATATGTGGAAAACGAGAAGATTTTCTCTTTTTTAAGGAAATGGAAAAAAATTCCTACTGGGCATCTGCTGATACTATCAAAAGACACACTTAGCTTATGTATTTACTATATATTTAATTAGAGAACGGTTAAAACCTTCTTGTGCAGCCATGTAATGGGACCTTCTATTTTTTTTTCCTTTCACATTAAGGAGCTAGATCTCACGATTATATTCGAAATTCTATCTTTACTGAAACTCTGAAAGTACAAAAGAATGGGGACTCAATTACCACACTGTTCTTCCAAACAACAGAGACAAACCAGTATACCACCCTCAGTCAGACTCTAATACTCAACTAAACTAACCCAAGGAACGCATTAGCACCATCTCACGATCGAAATCCATGTACAGTTCTTTAAATCACTAGCTAGCTGCATCAACTTGGTTCAAGAAGAGAATAATACAGATGACGGCTGAAAGAGGTAGAGGAGAAGGGCAAAGATGCTCCTGAAAACATTGCATTTGTAGTACATTGTTAGCGGCTGAGATTGGAAGAACAAACATAAATGTATAGTGATGTTTTGAACTATAGATACTTACACGCCAGTTCTCCAAGAACAACTGGTGGCAATACTCCCAATGCTTCTCATGCTTACTGCAAGCTCAGCAGAGGCTTTCATTTAGTAGGTTTGAAAATGGAGCTTTCAGTTCATCATCTCCATCAGCAGGGGCAAAAAGATTGTGCGAATTCGTCCCACACATTGTATAGTTTATAGCTTAAAGTCTTTTTTGCTTTATCCTTAGGGGTTGTATTTTCTCCTTCTATATTCAATGAAAAGGCGCACTCTTGTGCCGTTTTCCGTTCAAAAAAAGTTCATCATCTCCATCTACCCATTCCTCTCGACCAGATGAATTTATAGCACCATTGTGTTCCAGCTAACCGTTTGAGTATATGCACCATTTATCGAGCATCAACAGTAACGCAAAGCAGCGATGCTAGGCTTCTTGTCAGGACAAGAAGCAGAATTGCTCTGCTTGATATGTTGATAAGAAGAAGAATGATGATTTGAGTGAAATGTGGAAACATTTCTCATTCTCAAAGGCAAAGCATTTAACTATTGTTGTGTCCAAACAAGTATTACTATGTATGATTAAGTAGGTATTGCGACACATGAGTCTGAACATGTTCTGAAGAATGGTACATTCTTGCCTTTTGCACCTAACCATTTAAAACTATAATTTTGTTTGACGATAAAACTACGAAACCCGCGGCAAAGACGTGGGGTGCTAACTAGTATAGTAGATGGAAACCACCACGAAACTGTTTTCAACCCAAACGGAGTGGTCCAGTAGCACGTGATTAATTAAGTATTTGCTATTTTTTTTTCTCAAAAATAGATTAATATGATTTTTTAAGCAACTTTTGTATGTAAACTTTTTTAAAAAAATACACCGTTTAACAGTTTGAAAAGCGTGCGCGCGAAAAACGAAGTAAGGGAGTTGGGAACTTGGAGTTCCGAACACACCACGTGGTAGAATGATACGCTTGGCCGAATGGCAAAGTTAGCTTTCTAAAGAAATTCAGCAAATAAACTAATCGTGAACTTGAATTGGTTTTTGAAGGAGACCGCAAATATACAGTTTTGTGGTGTTCCAGGTGTGCGAGACTGCAAGTCATGAACCATAATACATAGGCGAATATGGTAACTTTTTTATGGAATCCAACTGCTAATGCTACCCTAACCATCAATTAGAATGAGCAAGAGTCATCATCAAGGTATATCGATCACTCGGAATCAAAGTGTACCTGCAAACATTCTGTGGAAGTCCGAATATTCAGCAATCAGCACTGATTAATCACTTTCTGATAGCAATAATTCATTTACAGTAGGAAGACTTTCATATTATGATTTATGAACCCCTTGCTCAATATGGACGGCCAGGATTGGGTCGCTACTATTGCGATTGATGCAACTCCAACTAGTTCTCTGGGCCTACCGGCACTTCTGGGCTTCTCTCGTATATGGATACTCCATCCCTTTCACTTTCGTGTTACAAATCTTTTTGACTTTGGTAAATATTAAAGTTGCTTCGAGTTTAATCAAGTTTTTAGAAAAAATAGAGATATTTTCAACCAAGAAAAATATATATTCAGTTATAGATTTAATAAAATTTATTTGATGTTGTAAATATTATTATATTTAGACAAATATAATAATATTTACACCATTAAATAAGTTTTATTAAATCGATAATTGAATATATGTTCATAATATATTTTTCTGGGGTTGAAAATATTACTGCTTTTTTCTATAAACTTAGTCAAACTTTAAAAATATTACTACTCCCTCCGTCACATATAAATTATAATTCTAGTTTATTTAGCATATATTAAGATTTGAGAAGAAATACTATGATGGTCCTTATTAAATGGTGAGGTAAGAGTGGAATGTTAGTTAAGGGTAAAATAGGGAAAAGTTTGAATGAGAAGTGATTAATGGGACCATTATACTTTACTGTGATAATTATTTTGGGACAAATTCAAATTCTAGAATTAAAATTATTATGGGATAGAGGTAGTATTTTTTTCTATAAACTCAGTCAAACTTGAAGTAGTTTAATAATTTTAATTCAAAGTCAAACTTGAAATAGTTTAACTTTGATCAAAGTCAAAACGACTTATAATCTGAAATGGAGAAGAAGTCTACGTAAAAACTAGATTCCGGATGCCTCTCATGCCCAATTTTCATCTAGTGTGCAGGCATGATTAATACTCGCTCAGTTTTCGAACTATAGATAATTACATGCAACATCTCCAAAAACAACAGCTGGCTATACACTCCTAATGCTTCTATGCTTACAAGCTCAGTAGAGGCTTTCATACTAGCAGGTTCGAAAATGGAGTTTTCTGTTCATCATCTCCGTCTGTGCGTTCCTTTCCACTGAATGAATTTTATATCACCATGGTTCCTGCTTGAGCTTTGATTGAACCATTTATTGAGCATCAACAGTAACATAAATCAGCGATGTTTATTGGGGAGTTCTAACTGGCCTATTGTTGTGTCACTAGTGTAGATTCACCGATATTGATTAGAAGATGGAACATTAATGATTGAGTGAAATGAAGAAGTTTTTCATACTCAGAGGTCAGCATTGAATTATTGTTGTATCTGAAAAAGTACTACCTTCATTTCAAAATAACATCATCTTTGACTCTCGGTATGAAAAATGAGGTTGAGATAAAAATGTGAAAGTACATAGTATTGATGGGTGAATAAGTAAGTGTAGTTAAAGGGTATTAAAGGAATAAAACCTATCTTAGTTCGGAATAAAGGATGGAGGCTAAAAATAAAGTTATTTTAGTCTACCTCTAAAATTTATTTAATCTCACCCATATCCCTGAAATTTTGATTTGATCCCTTACATACCCCTGCCGTTAGCTTTGCATACAAGAGAGATCTATTTTCTCTTGATCCCTTATATGCTTGACAAAATAACATACAGGTGCATAATCATAATTGATGATATATAGGATGGAAAACTGTAGGAATATATCAAGTGTGCTTTCTACAAAATCTGTTTTTATCTTGATCCCTTATCAGGGGCATAGAAGAAAATTTCTCTTAAAAATTTGAACCTTCATCTCCTTTTGCACATTTATACAGACAATAGCCATTTGAAAAATATATATGTTTGCACAACTATACAAAATTACATTTGCACATTACAAATGCAAAAAAAAATCATTTCCATTAATAAATACAATTGCACATTTCTCTCTTTTACAAATACATATGCACATAAAGCTCTGTGATCTCTTCAATGCCAACTTTCCAGGGGCACGCAAGGAATTTTCTCAAATTTTAATGAGGAATCCATGACAGCACAAATAAAACGGAATAAAACAGCTTTACCAAGTATTTGCTAAAAAAAAAACAGCTTTACCAACTAGTGTACTGTATGTTCTGCGCGAATCTTGATGAGCAACGGGTTGCTGAAACTCCTTGTCCTCTTTCTAATAACAATGAGTAAACAGAGAGAAGATGCAGTGCATGTCTCTTTCTAACAACTTTCCACAAAGTGATAGAAAAAATGAAGTTTCTCAGCAACATCTCGCAGGCACTCTCACTTTGCCAAGATTCCATCCACCACCAATTTTCTTCCTTCTTCTTCCTCCAGCTCCAGGCATTCACTTTCCTCACTCCACAAGCAAAGCTCCTTCTCCCACCAGCATGGAGCTCGCCATGGGTGCCATAGGCAGCGTGCTCCCAAGGCTAGCTGAGCTTCTCAAGGAGGAGTACAAGCTACAGAAGGGCGTCAAGAACGACGTCGAGTCCCTCTCCCGGGAGCTCGCAGCGATGCACATCGCCCTCGAGAGAGTTGCCAAGGTTCCAAGGGAGATGGTAGAGCTCGATGTCAAGCTCTGGGCCTCTAATGTCAGGGAGCTATCATATGCCATCGAGGATGCCATCGACGCCTTTGTCGTGCGTGTCGCAGAGGGCAGCAACCTTGTCGATCCTATCAACCAGGGATTCTTCAAGAGGATCCTTCGCAAGACGAGTGATCTGATCAGGAAAGGGAAAGCTCGCCGTGAGATCGCCGAAGGGATCTGTGACATCAAGGAGCTTGCAGATGAGGTGGCAGAGCTGCGAGCAAGGTACAAGTTCGATGCAGCAGCTGCTGCAACGACTCCGGCTACGGCCACCGTGGATCCCCGGATCCTTGCTCTTTACAAGGATATCACAGAGCTTGTTGGCATCGAAGAGGCCAGAGATGAGCTGATCGGCATGTTGTCTAGGCCTGCAGACGACGACCAACTGAATATCGTGTCCGTTGTTGGATTTGGAGGATTGGGCAAGACGACTCTTGCTAAGGTTGTGTATGACAAGCTCAGAGGCCAATTCGACTGCGCGGCTTTTGTTTCGGTGGGTCAAAATCCTGACTTGAAGAAAGTTTTGACGGACATGATATATGACCTTGATAGGCAGCGGTATATTAGCATTCATAACTCAAGGATGGATGAACGCCTCCTTATTAATGAACTTCGAGATTTTGTTCAGAACAAAAGGTATGTACTCTGCTACACAATAGTAGCTAGTCATCACTCCACACAAATACAGTAGTGTCCATTTTAATTTCCATGATTGAGGTACTAGCGCAAATGAATTAAGGGAAAGAATTTGAAACAATCTGCAGTTTCTCGCATTCGCAACACTTAACTTTCCTCAAAGATTCATGCACATGAGGAAACTGGTGAGGTCCCCTTCTTCTCCAGCAACAACAAATTAAGTTGTAGTGGTATTAGTGTTGGTATACACATTCCCAAAGATAACTTACTAACAGCTTACTACAAAAATTGAAAACAAATTAGTTATATATGCCTTCATATTGCTAACTATATATGCTTGACAAAATAACATACAGGTACATCATCATAATTGATGATATATGGGATGAAAAACTGTGGGAATATATCAAGTGTGCTTTCTACAGAAACAAGCTTTGCAGTCGAATAATAACCACGACACGCAAAGTTACAGTTTCTAAAGCATGTTGCTCTCATGATGATGCAATTTATAGGATGAAGCCTCTTTCTGATGATGCCTCCAAAAGGCTATTCTACAAAAGGATATTTAAGCATGATAATGGGTGTCCTCCAGAACTGGAACAAGTATCAATAGGTATATTGAAGAAATGTGCTGGGATGCCGTTAGCCATTATAACTATAGCTAGTCTCTTAGCCAACAAGCAGGTACAAACAAGGGATCAATGGCATGATGTGTTTAATTCTATTGGTCGCGGACTTACCGAAGAGCCCAAGGTTGAGGACATGACAAAGATATTGTCTTTTAGCTATTATGATCTACCGTGTCACCTCAAGACATGTTTACTGTATCTAAGTATATTTCCAGAAGATTTTATAATTAGTAGAGACCATTTGGTACGGATGTGGATAGCCGAAGGTGTTGTCCAAAAAACAACAAATCAAAAGGACGATGTGCTGGTTGAGCTAGGAGAGAATTATTTCTATGAGCTCATAAATAGAAGCATGATTCAACCTTGGGATGAAAATGACTTTATGTATTACAAAGATGGGTATGACAACGCAATAATATCTTGTCGAGTGCATGACATGGTGCTTGACCTCATCCTTTCCCTCTCAAATGAGGAGAATTTTGTTACCATATTGGATCAGGAGCGAGGCGCATCTTCACTCAGTAAAGCTCACCGGATATCCCTCCGAGATTGCAATGTAGTGCACACTATACCAGAGGCTACTGTGCCAAAAGTAAGGTTCCTCTCTCTTCTTCGCGCAGATGTTCATATGACGCCGGCAATTACAATCTTTCCAATTTTACGTGTGTTGGATTTATATAATTGTCATTTTGAGGAGAGCTACCACCTTAAGCATCTTGGGAACTTATTTCACCTAAGGTACCTGAGACTACACTGTGGATGTATCACTAAGCTCCCAAATGAGATAGGAAATCTTCAGTTTTTGCAGACTCTAGACGTGCATAGAAGTCGTAGTATAAAAGAACTGCCACCGGCTATTTATCAGCTAAGAAGATTGATGTTCCTATATTTTCCTGAAAATATATCACTGTCAGACAGGATTGGTGAATTGACATCACTGCTGGAGTTGTCCCCGGTAGATGTTTTTCGAAGAACATCCTCTATTGATGTTAATGGTGACTCCTTCAGCTTGCTAAAAGCATTGGGTAACCTGACAGAACTAAGAGATCTTACAATTCAGGTGTGGTCGTCTGAGGTCTCGAGCATCGGGAGAATTCTCGGTGAGGTATTGTGCAATCTACACAAACTCCGCCGTCTAATTCTGCGGGGAGTACATGGAATCGTCCATTTGGATTCCCTACCAGAGTTCTTGGACCTTCCCCAACACATTCATGTACTTGGGATAAAACCCATGTATTTCTTCACTGTACTACCTGTGTGGTTCAATTTCCCGATAGATCTCCCATACCTTTCCTTTCTGGACTTGTCCATCTGCGACATGCGTCAGGAGCATGTCGAGAAACTTGGGAGGTTGCCGGCTCTTCAGGTTCTTTGGATACAGATCAACAGAGAAAGTGAATGGCTTGTGATTGGCGCTGGTGCATTCCCATCTCTGACAGACTGCACATTCATTCAATATTGTGGGCTGGTGTTCCAACCAGGAGCAATGCCAAAGGTTAGAAAACTGGAGTTCAACATCAACGTGGTAGATTCTGAGGATATCAATTTTGATGTTGGCTTGGGGAACCTGGCTTCGATCGAGGAAGTCACCATTGATCTGTTGTGTGAGGATGCTGTAGAATGGGAGGTGGAGGAGGTTGAGAATGTGCTGAGGCACGTAGCCGACATCCATCCCAAGCATCCAACCCTTGAAATGCGCAGATCGGATGAAGATAAAATGGTCTTGGATGATGAAGAGGAGCAACAGGTACATATATATACATATACCTTACAAAGGTTCATTTTTATTTACTAGTTGCCTTGTCCAGCTACCTACTATACCTGTCTTACCATGATTTTTATATATCTATTTGTGTTAACAAGTACTTTATTTCAAATTTCCAGTCAGAGGATCCTATGGAAGACTCCGACATGGAAGAAAACAGGGCACCAGACAGCATGGCCAGTGAAAGTTCTTGAATCATTCACGTTTACAACTTGAATGAGAGGGGATCCAAAATCAAGCAGAACATGAAAGATGTACAGTTCAGACAAACTTGTGTTGAGTTCATCTTTCTATCTACTCAGTGCTCACCTTTACATCTTTTTTTTTCTTTGTTATGATGGGGCTGTGCAAAAGGTGTGTACATAGTACTCTCAGATCATCATATGCATGTTGTATTTTGCAATGGACCACATGTTGATCGAATGTTAGATTGGGTTATTTTGTCTGACAGAACTCCGCAAAAATATCAGTACGGAATCGAGTATACCTAGTTCCAGACAACCTCTGAACATTCAGCAGTGAGCAATAAAACATTTCCCAAATTCATTTGCAGTGTCTCCTCTTGATCAAGAATGTTTTTTTTAATCAAACGTCTTGATCAACAATCCTTTGCAAACATGGTTCTCCGGTCCTTAATCTTCATTACTGACGACAGAGATGGATGTGAGGCCCCTTATTTCTAGCTCTCTATTACATTGCCACAATGACTGCAAAAACATGATGCATTCTCAGTCTTAAGTAAAGCATATAAATTTCATTTGTATTATAATATGTTTTTTTCTCTGGAAATATATTGTCTCTGCAGAAATAATTTAAGATTATCTGCCTTGAAGTAAAACGCATAAACTTTATGTGTGGTAGTGCAGTATAATGTGTTCTTCTCTGAGAATTCATCATTTCCCAGAGCTGTTTAATGTTAAAATTTCTTTCTTCAACCACTTATTCGTATTGCTAGAGTTTATTTATAGAGCGTTGTTACGGTACAGCAGTCGGTACCAGTACCGCCCGGTACCAAAATCCTGGCTGTTGGATCTGGCCCGATCCAACGGCTGGTAGAGTTTGGTACCGAGCAATACCAATTCTGTCCCTGGTGCAGTACCACGCAGAGAACTAAGGTGGAAGGGTAAAAACGTAACTTTGCGTGCAATGAGAATAGACTGTAACCCTAGAAATCCCGATCCGCCGCCACCGTATTCCTCTTCCGTGCCACCGCCGTGTTTCTCTCCCGCTCCAACGCCGCCGTGTTCCTCTTCCGCCCCGTCGTCACAGTGTCTGCCACGTTCCTCTTCCGCTCCTTCGGCGCCGCGAGATCGGCCTCCGCATCGTCGGCAGTAGCGGAGGCGGAGGCGGATGAGCCGGCGGCGGAGTATGCGGTTGCAGCGGCCGAGGAGCCGCTCCGGTGGCGGCGCCGGAGTAGGCCGTGGTTGAGGCGCAACGAAGGAGAAGGCGCACCATTTTTCTCTCCCGATCCCAGATTCAACGGTTGGATGATTTTTGGTACCGACCGGTACATTCTGCTGGACAGTAAAAAATCTCTTCTTTATAACACTGAATAATTAGAGATCAACATATTGATGCATCCTCACACTCAGTAAATAGTGGTTAGATCAAAACTCTCAATTGTATTACTTACAGATGATGACTGGCATATGTAAAAATGCTGGATATGTGAGGAAGGGCTCTCATATCGAATTTTATTCAGAGAGAGGTGAGGCTCAAACCCGGGTCGGCTAGCACTATAGACCCCCGGGTGTTTCTTATGACTTTTTTTATATATTTTTTTTAGAGAAGGGTATTTTTTTACCCGGCCTCTATATCCAATCAGATATATGCAACCATTTTAATTTTTAGGAACTTAGCCTATCAAATAGGAAACTTAGCCCTCAAATAACCCAATCTGAAATTCGCTCCTATGGAGATTTGAACTCAGAACCTTAGGGTGCTACTCAGGTCACTAACATATTTGACCTCGGCCCCTTGGCAAAACTGAATTTCTGATGCCTCTCACGTTCAGTTGCTCCACAGTGCATGATTAGTCCTAACTTGGTTTTCTCACTTTTTTTTTCCCACGGATAGTAGTGAACAACCGTGTTCTTGTGTCCCTGTGATATCTGTGATCCCCAAATACACTGCTAAGACACAATGCCTGAATTTGTGTGTTGTGTGACAGAGACAGACATCATAGGCTTGGCTTATTTTTCTGTTCATATGGACTATGAAGAGCACATGGATTGAGATACTGCTCTTCATGAGCCAAATTGTCAGTGTACAGGGAGTAATCAACGCTTTTCGATAGAGTTCTATGAACTGAAAACAAAAACTAGCGGGACACTTTCAATCTTTGGCCTCTGAAATTTAGAGGAGGTGTCCAACTATGACATCTCATCGTTCTGCTCAGGCTATATTAGCAACAAGCCAACAAGCATCAAACATATCAAGTGATCAAGTCAACAAGTCATCTGGTTCTGAATAAATATTGACGTCGTCTCCTTGAGAAATCAAACAAAAACATTACGAATCGGTGCAGACAAACTTATTTAGCCTTCATATTCAGTTTATTTTTTAATAATGGTCTAATATAAGTTTTTTTAATAATGGTGCTGTGTACAATTTAAGTATTTTTACCCTCACATCACCACGCATGTTGTATCTGCAACAAAAGTACAAAACTCATGTTGATCGAATGAATGTTAGATTGGTAAGTACTCCAGTTGTCAAGAGATTGATCAGCTGATATGCTGAACTCACTTCGACACAAAGACTAGACATATGTGCCAACTGCATGAAGGTAAATCCATCAGCATCTCAACCAATCAAATCAAAATTGCAGCAAAAGCTATCTGAAGAATTGTTGCCTACTCACTGAAGGACATATTCAGTTCATTGTCTCAACTCATAATTTGGCCGAATCATCAGCAGCAAGAACGGAAAAAATGAGTACATAGTAGCATCCTAATTTGCACGACATCATTCAATTCTTCAATAAGGAACCGTGTAGGCGGCAAGCTTGACGGCCGGATGAACAACCACCAAGCGCTGAGGTCGCCGCCAATAATTTGGTGAAAAATGCGTCCGAGAATTTGAATACAAACATCGAGACAGAGGCATCGGCAAAATTGGATTCCAGATGCCTCTCATGATCAATTGCCCCACAGCACATGATTAACCCTCGCTTGGTTTCAAACTTTCTGTAGATAGTGTAGTAACCAACCATCCTCATGTGTATCTCTGCTAATAACTAGTACTAGCAGTAAACAACCATGTTAATTTGTGATATCTAATGTCTCCAAATAAACTGCCAAAGCACAATGCCTGAATATGTTGTTGTGTGATGGTTACTTCACGTCTCATGGCTTCTCTTATATATGACTCTATGTATGCAGAGCACATGGATTGACGTATTGCTCTTCATGAACCAAATTATCACCGTACAGAGTGGTAGTTAGTACATTCAGTGCAGTTTATGATCTGAAAAAAACCATGGCATTCTCAAATTCGGCCATAACTGAAGCTGGCCTTCGAAATTTAAGAGCAACTAGGAAGGTGGCCCGCGCGGATGCGCGGGCATTATATTATTGAAAGATAAGATTATTGTTTGTTCGAAAATTTTGTCTTATAAATTAAGGGCAAACTAATGTTTGGATAATGTTATTTTATAATAATTTAAGGGTTCTATTTTTCTTAAAGTATCTTAAAAAAACCATTCACAAACTTTTGAATAGGAGATGGATTAAGTACTTATGACTTTTGAATCATGTTTTTTTTCTCAAGTAAATAAGAAACTATTGGAAGTTAATTATTATACAATCCATTTATAGAGCAAGATACTTAAAATTCTTATGATTAAATCATCTCATGAAGACGCATGATATAGTAAGAACGGGAGGAAAGCGCATGCATGGAAAAAAAAGAAAGGGAAAAATGAAAAAAAGGGAGAGGAAGCATACGTACTCACGTATGTAGGTGCGTACCTATGCTAGGGCGGAGAGGTGGAACCTCGTAGTATTTCGTTTGTTCTAAGATCAATTTAATCTAATGGTTTATAATATTGGACACACCGATTTAAGTGAAAATCAAATAATAGATATTTTGCTTTTTTTCTTAGAATTTTTAATAGTTGCTTTAATTTATTAGAGCACCACGTGGCAGTTTGAGAGCATTTTAAGAAATTTTAAAGGACTTAACACATGTAATTAGAATATTAACTACATAATATATATATGCATGGGGCATATGGTATTATTTATTCCAGCTTCGTCCATGTTTATATACATGTAGAGAGAAATTAATTATGTGGCTAGCAAGCCATTAGATGTTGACGGAGCTCGTGGCTCCTCACCGGGAGACCGCGCAGGCCCCCCTTTGCCAGTTCGGCCGGGGGCTTAGGGTGAGATCTCAAGCTCTCTCTGTGTGTGGAAAGATCGCGTGCCAGGAAGAAACGCGAGACACGGACGATGTATACAGGTTCGGGCCGCTGGGAAGCGTAATACCCTACTCCTGTGTTTTTGGTGGATCTGTGTAAGAGCAAGTTACAAAATATCAACCAGCCCTCTCCTCTCCCGGGAAAATCCAGCCCCCTCGCCCTCTGGGCATGGTCCTCCTTTTATATCTTAAGGGGATACCACATGTAAAAGATGACGGAGCTTGGTATGGTTGCCGTCCGAATGACACTTCGATGGGACAGCCCACACCTACCTCCACTCCCGGCGGAGACAGGCGCAACGTGGGATCGTGGCTGTCTGTTGCTGACGCGACCAGTGTCAGACCGGTCACAGATCGGTCATTCTTGTCCTCTATGCGTCAGTTCAGCGATCTGCATGATCACCCTTCTTTTTGTAGCATCTTGCCTGTAACGGTTGGGATGAAGCCTGGTATTCATCTAACCAGGGCTAACGTGCCATCTCTAAGAGGTAACACGCTAGCTCCGGCTGGAGACGTGTGCCTAGAGGCTCTCGTCTTGACGGGACGGGGCGAGGCGTGCGTCAGACCACCAGTCGCCACCTAACCGTTGATCCGACCGGTCTGTGACTGGTCACAGACCGGATAAAAGAGCGCGCTGCATTGCGCTGCATGCAACGTGACACACTTGACCAGACCGCAATAAATGCGGTTAGGTGAGCCCTACCGTGTTCACCCAACCTATGTACATAGTGCAAACCCCACAGGGGGTCGGGGCACCTCGGCCCTCGGGGTCGGGGCAGGAGCAACCCGACCCCCCCCCCCTCGGGGAAATCAGGAGGAGGGCGGACACCTCACCCTCGGGCCCGACGTCCCCGAAGGTGCCAGGCCACGTGGGCGATTCCATCTGCCTCAAGCCTCCGGGCGCAATACTCCCGGTCCCATATCACCGACAGTAGCCCCCGGCGTTATGTCAGGGCAATCATCCTTCTCAAGGGAAGCGGTCGGGCATGACGCCACTCATAAAGCCTGGTGACAGGTGGGACCGGTCTCCGTGATTGGGCAGAAACCCAACGGTCTCAAACCACGCATATCGGTAACGGTGTCTTGGCCGTCAGTCATGAGCGGTCTCTTCAAGACTGCCACATCACTTG